CAAGAGAGACTGTGTCTCACCAGGGGCTTTCCATACACCACGACCATTATACATCATGGGCATTGAGGAAGTCATTTCAGGTACTTACACTTACTTGTGCCTTGCTGGCTGCCATCTAGGTCATGCCCTTGGGGGTAGACTAGTGTCAGCTCAAGGCCCCTGCAGCTACTTTGCCACAAAAATAGATGCAGAGGCAGCAATATTATGGAGTAGTCTAAACTCTCAACATTGGTCAAATCCTTTCCTGAGACCTAACCCCTGACAACTACTGTTCTGTTCTCCGTCTCTGTGGAACTGCCTTTCCCAGAATGTCTTGTAAGTGGATTCATACAGTATGTCACCTTTTGAGACTGGCTCCTATCACTCAACACGGTGCTTTGAGGTTCATCTAGGTCGTTGTGTGTATCAATAGTTATGTTTTATTGTCAAGTATTATTCCATTATATGGATGTACCACATTTTGTTTAACCATTTGCCTATTGTAGGACATTTTTGTTGTTTCTAGGTTTTGGCAATTTTGAATAAAGCTGCTACAAACATTAATGGATACGTTTTTGTATGAATATAAATTTTTCACTTCTCTAGGATAAATACCCAGGAGTTGGACTGCTGGCTCATATGAAAAGTTCCCTCAGGCCCCTTCCCAATTGGTTTCGCCCTCATCCCCTAGAGGCAACCGTTGTTCTTATTTTTTTCCACCACATATTAGTTTCGCCTGCTCTAGAACTTCAAATAAATGGAATCATACATGTAGTTACTTGCTTTTTTTTTTGAGGAAGATTGGCCCTGAGCTAACATCTGTTGCCCATCTTCCTCTCTTTTTTCCTTTTTTCTCCCCAATGCCCCAGTACATAGTTGTACATCCTAGTTGTAGGTCCTTCCAGTTCTTCTATGTGGGTCGCCGCCTCAGCATGGCTTGATGAGCGGTGAGTAGGGCCGTGCCAAGGATCCAAACTGGCGAACCCCGGGCCGCAAATCGGCACACGAGAATTTAACTGCTGCACCACGGGGCCGGCCCCCATGTAGTTACTTTCAGTGAGGCCTCTTTTTAGATCCACCCGCATTGTTGTGTGTATCAATGATTCATTCCTTTTTATCACTTAGTGTTATTTAGCTGTATTGATAAACCACTTTGTGTATACATTCAACTGTTGATGGACATCTGGTCTTTTTTCAGTTTTTTATTATTATGGAAAAAGCTGCCCTGAACGCTTGTGTTCTAGTTTTTGTGTGCACACATGCTTTCATTTCCCTTGGGTAATTCCTAAAAGTGGAAGTGTTAGGTAGTAGGTTAGGCGCATATCCAGCTTTATAATAAACTGCTAAATTGTTTTCAAAAGTGTTTGTACCATTTTACACTCCCACACTGTGTGAGGGTTCCTGTTGTTCCATATTCCTGCCAACATTTGGTGTTGTCAGCTGGTTACTTTTAGTTATTCTGGTGGATGTATGGTGATATCTCATTGTGGTTTTAATGTGAAATTACCTAATGACTAAAGATGTTGAGCATATTTTCAAGTTGCCAAAAGAGTGGTGCTAAGATCTTCAACATGATTGTAATTTTTCCAATGTCTAAATAACCATTCCAGCTTTCTCATACCTTCTGTTTGTGTGGTATATGTTTATACGTCCTTTTACTTTCAATCTTTCTGTGTCTTTTTATTTAAAGAGCATCTCTTTTTAAAATTTTATTTTGTTGTAATAACACTTAAAACGAGATCTGGCCTCTTAAATTTTTTAGTGTACGATACATTATTGTTGACTATAGGTACAATGTTATACAGCAGATCTCTAGAATTTATTCACCTGGTTTATGTAAAACTTCATGCCTGTTGATTAGTAACTCCCCATTTTCCCCTCGCCTCAGGCCCTGGCAACTATCATTGCACTCTTTGATTCTATGAATTTAACTATTTTAGATACCTCACTTAAGTGGGATTGTGCGGTGTTTTTCTTTCTGTGACTGGCCTATTTCACTTAGCATAATGTCCTCAAGGTTCATCCGTATTGTTAAAGAGCATCTCATATAGACAGCATATAGTTGAGTCTTGCTTTTGTATACAGTGTGATTATCAGATTAGTCTGCTATGTTGCCAGAACTGAAAGTAAGTCCTGTGCATATTTTGAAGACGTTGGAACCAAGTTTTAGTTGGAATCCAAGCTCAAAATACTCTTTGCTCGCCTTTCCCCAACAGTCTTTGCATAATAGAAGGTTTTCACAAGCTCAATGTACTAGGAGTGGGAACTCAGCATCTAGTTCCCCATTCCACTTCTTGCTCCAGACATTTTTCTTTTACATGTACAATGATTTCTGGAATTTAAAAGTTTTAATTAAGATCGTTAGAGTTTTTTAAAAAATTAACAGTGTCTTTCCAGGCCTACTTAGGATTCAAGATCTAAAGGTAGATGTGAGGGTTCTTTAAAAAGGCCAAGAATTTGCTTCCTCTTGTAGAAACTTTCTCAAGGTTTTTAGACCCTCATATTGATAGACTTACAGATATAGATCTACAGGCTTGGACTATCAGTCCCTCTGCTGAGTACTCACTGAGTAGGGTAGATGGGCATATCCGGTATTTTCCCATCTCTCACTGTCTTCTCTGACTCTTTGCCCCCAGCCTTCACAGAATATATTTACTTAATGTTACAGACTATTTTTACTTAGGGTTTTTACTCAACTCCTAACTTATGCTTAACATTTTTAGTTAATGCTCTTCTCTGTCATCATCTTAGTCATTTTATAATGAGGAACTAATAATCTATACACATACGAACTACTTCCTAGTTTATATTTTATAAAAAAGATTTTCACACACAGCAATCCAAACTCAAGTAATATTTGTATGGGACCCTTGAACTGGAGTGAGTTCCTGGAGATTCTCTGCATTTTTATTCCCTCTACAGGTAATTGTTTGACTTCATCAGCTGCAATGCTACAACATTAGGCTATAGACAAGAATTTTGGATTACATTTTAAGCCTACCTCATGGTACATGAAGTGGATGGGGTTAGGGCAGACAGAGAAGCACATCATTTCGGTTTTTTTCTTGTCAGTACAATGTTAATTCTTAACTGACCTCATTTCTCTGGTAAAAGCAAAAACCATGAACTAGTTCAGTGTATAATACCTACATAGGCTCTCTTGCTCCTTCATATGATCAGTTAAAATGATTCATTTTGCATAACTGTGAGAAATAGTCTTTTTGCTTTTTCTTCTTATCTTTCCATTTTTCCCTCTGGGTGTGGGTCTCTCTCTCTCTCTCTCTCTCACACACACACACCAACACACACGCACACACATCCCAAGAGACAAAGAGTGGACTCTTCGTTTATAGACAATGAGAGACTTTAAGGAGATTGAGGCCAGTGATTCTGAATTCCAGTGCCATTGTGAGCTGGATGCAGACAAGTGAGGAAACACAGCACCAAATGGCTATTCTGGGACAACTTCTGAGCTGCACAGGCTTGTATTTTGGACCAGTGCGGTGTTGCCTCTGTCTGCAGTTGTGCTGGAAGCAGCCTCAGAATTTTCAGGTGAGTTGATAATTTCCGATGCTTTCTCTTCTTCTGACACTGGCACAGGCTCCATCCCTACCCACCACACATTTAGTCATTACTATTATTGGTTATTACATTTTGTTATTTAGGTATTACTTATTACTGTTGTGGAACGAGTACAGAAAACATCTGTAAGTTGATACTTCCTGACATCATCTGATCAGCACCACTGGAGAGGAAGAGGGCTGCACTGAGCCAAAGTTTTCTTAGAGAAGAGAAAATGAAGCTAAGTTTGGAGTGAAATGTAAGGGCGAATAAAAAAATTGATGCGAGAAGAGGATGGAAGATGAGAGGAGAGTTTCCTCTTATTATAGACCCAACAGATTCATTTGGGGAAAAAAAAAAACGCTTTTCCCAAGCATTACTGGCTGTTCTGGGGACATAGGGGTCTTGCGTTTATTTGCAAGGAGAGGGTGTACAGTGTCAGAGAAGCGCGAAAGCAAGAAAAGGAAGTCAAGAATAAATCCTTGGCGATATGCAAATCCAGTGATCAGAGGTGGAGCCTGGTCCAGCGCAAGTTACGTATGCAAATTAAGGGTTCTGGGGAAATGCCTTTGCAGGGGCCAGGTTCACATGCAAGAATGTTGAATGGAGGAGCCTTGCCTTGGGCAAGCTGCGTATCCAAATCCGAAATCCTGGGGTGGGGCCTGGCCCGGCTGCGAGCGGCGTATGCAAATCGGGGACCCCTGGGCGGGGCCCGGCCGGGCGCCCGCTGTTGCTAGGTGACAACTCGTTTGCCCAGGTTGCTAGGGGCGTCTCCTAGCGTCTCCAAGGGAACGCGACCAAAACTAAACTCGGCGTCCGCGTGGCCCTAATCCCGACTTTGCCAATCATTTCTCGAGCGCCCGTCCCTCCTCCGTCTTCTCCGCGTCAAAGCCCCTGCCCGGTTGGAGTCCTTGCCATCCGCTCTGTCCGCCTCCTCCCCCGCGTCCCGCACCCCGCACCCCCCACGCGCCACCCCCGGTCGCCATTGCGAGTTCACCGGGTCACGACGCCGCAGTCCTGGTCTGGAGCTCCACCCCAGCGAAGACCGTCCTTCTGGGGACTTGGCTGGGCTCTGACTTGCTCAGGGCCGATGGCGGAGGCTTCCGTACCCCAGCCTCACCCCCGACCCCACCGCAGCCAGCCTCTCGCTCGCGGGGCCCCACCCCACCCCGCACTGTCCACCGCTCCTCTCTGTCATCCGCGACTCCTCCCCACCACCCCCAGCCAGACCGCCGCCGGCCCCCACCCCTCCAAGGAGGGATGTCCCAGCACCAGCATCTCCCGCGCAGAGTGACCGAGGCACGCACACGGGTTTCCTGAAACACTTTATTGATTTTTCCATGACTGTGCCCAAGGCACCAGACAGGCTGGGGCCGCCCCGGGGCTGTGCGCGGGCCTGGCGCCCGACGGGCGGACACACGGCCGGCTGGGTGGACGGCCGGCCGGCCAACCGAGGCCCGCGGACCCGGGTCACGCCGGGCAGCTACTCCCGGGTCGGGGCCACCTGGGAGATGGTCGTAGCCCCAAAGAAGCCGCTGAGCAGCGCGTTGTTGTGGACCGCCATGTCCACGAGCTCTGGGGTGATGCGCCTCCTGCCGCCGTTGTGGGCCTCGTTGCTCGCCAGCTCCAGGACCTTGGCCGTCAGGTACTGGACGACGGCGGCCAGGAAGACCGGGGTGGAGGGGCTCAGGCGCCGGGTGTAGTGGCCCTGCCGCAGGAGGCGCTCCACGTGGCTCACAGAGAACGATAGCTCCGCTCGGGCGGTGCGGGAGCGGGGCCGACTCTGGCCACCGGACGACCCTCGACGACGACGACGACGACGACGACGACGGCGACGACGGCGACGACGGCTCCGGTTCCCGGGCATGCTGGGCTTGAGCCGCGCCTTCTGCTCGACGGGACTAGCTCTTCTGCGGTGGGATGAGGTTCAGCTCAGTCCGGGTCGCTCAGGTGAGGTGAGGTGAGGTGAGGTGAGGTGGGTCGGCGGGTCCCAAGCTCTCAAGACGGCGGGTACTCGGCCCCTACTCCGTATCCTAGCGACCACGCACCGGCCCCCCCATTGGTCGGGGCGCACGCTCGCTGACACGTCGATCCGGTGACGTCACTGCTTTCCCATTGGCTCCCGGAAATGGCGGGCCTGGGCCTGCAGCGAAAGGGCGCCGGCACGAGCCCGCTCGCCCTGCGCCCTGGACCCTCTCTTTGAGGGAACCCTCCCTTTCCACCGGATGGGAACGTGGACGGAAAAAGACGACAGACTTGGACGATCCGGTGCCACCAAGTGGACACTCGCGCGGTCAGGCGATCGTCACAACCACCCAGATCCAAAACGTGGGCACCACCCGGAAAAGAAAGCCCTGTACCCGTCAGGCAGTCGCTTCCCACTGCCCCCCCCCCCCCCCCCCCCCCCTGGCCGGCCCCCAGCCGGCACCTGCCCCCAGCAGCCAGGCAACCACTCCTGGGCTCCCTGTCCATAGAGGTTTGCCTATTCTGGAGACTTCCTACAGATGGAGTTATACGATCAAGAGGTGGCCTCTTGTGTCTGGCTGCTTTCCCTTAGCCATCATGTTTTCACTATGGGTCATCCACGGGGCAGCACGAATCAGCGCTTCATTCCTTTTCGGGCCAATAAGATTCCGTTGTCTGGAGAGACCACACGTTGTGTATCCATCCGTCCATCAGTTGATAGACGTTTGGGTGATCTCCACCTCGTGGCTGTTGTGAATAGCACGGCAGTGAGCGTTCCCGTACAGGGTTCTGTGGGAACACCTGTTTGCAGTGCTTTGGGGTAGATATCTGCGAGTAGGATTGCGGGGTCGTGAGGTAATTCTACGTTTAACTTATGGAGGAACCGCCCAAGTGATTTCCACAGCGGCTCTACCATATCGCATTCCCAGCAGCAGCGTATGAAGGTCCCGATTTCTCCACATCCTCGCCAAAACTTGCTATTTTCCGCGTCTGTTGTTTGCTAACAATAGCCATCCTAGTGGGTGTGAAGTGGTAGCTCACGGTGGGTTTGATTCACATTTCCCTAATGGCTAATGATGTTGAGCATCTTTTCGTGTGCCTCTTGGCCATTTGTACTTCTGCCCTTTGGAGAAATGTCGATTCCAGTCCTTTGCCCATTTTTTAACTGGGTTGCCTTTCTTTTTCTTGTTGAGCTGCAACAGTTCTTTATGCGTTCTGGAAAATAGGCCCTTATCAGTTATATGATTTGCAAGTGTTTCTCCCACCCTGTGGGCTGTCCTTTCGCTTTCTAGACAGAGTCCTTTGATGCACAAAAGTTTTTGATTTGGACGGCCTACAATTTCTCTCTCTCTCTCTCTGTTTTCTTTTGTGGCTGTGCTTTTGCTGTCATATGTAAGAAACTCTGATGCTTTACTTTGTGTGTCAACTTGGCTAGGCCACAGTACCCAGTTATTTTGTCAAACATTTTTCTAGGTATTTCTGAGAAGGTATTTTTTAGATGAGGTTAACATTTAAATCGGTAGATTTTCAGTAAAACACATTATACCCCATAATGTGGGTGGGTCTCATCCAACCAGTTGAAGGCTTTACCCTGAAAAAAACTGACCTCCCCTGAGCAAGAGGGGATTCTTCCAGCAGACTTTCTTTGGACTTGAACTGCAACATCAACTCTTCCCTAAGTCTCCAGCCTGGTGGCCTACCCTGCAAAATCTGGGTTTGCCCTCCTCCGCACTCCTGTGAGCCAGTTCCTTATAATCTCTCTATCTCTCTCTTTCTATATACACACACACACATGCACACACATGCATGCACACACAAGCACTCACATACGCACACACTCCATTGGTTCTGTTTTTTTTTCTGCTTCTTTTTCTGACTGGTTTATTTCACTTAGCTTAACGTCCTCAAGGTTTATCCCTGTTGTAGCCTATGACAAAATTCCCTTCTTTCTCAAGGCTGAATAATACTCCATTGTATGTATATACCGTGTTTCTTTGTCCATTGATCCATCGATGGACATTTAGGTTGCTTCCACTTTTTGACTATTATGAATAATGGTGCAATGAACATAGGTCTGCAAATATCTCTTCAAGATCCTGTTTTCAGTTCTTTTGGATATATACCCAGAAGTAGGATTGCTGGATCACATAGTAGTTCTATTTTTAATTTTTTGAGGAATCTCTATATTTCATAGTGTTTCCGTGCTTTCTCTAGTGGCTGTACCATTTTACATTCCTACTGTGGGGGATCAGAATTCGCCACCCCAAATATGCCTCTTTGCCTTCATTATTATTATTATTATTTTAGGAAGATTAGCCCTGAGCTCACATCCATTGCCAATCCTCCTCTTTTTGCCGAGGAAGATTGGCCCTGGGCTAACATCTGTGCCCATCTTCCTCTGCTTTGTATGGGATGCCACCACAGCATGGCTTCACAAGTGGTGTGTAGGTCCTCACCCACAGGATCCAATGGTTCTGTTTTTTTGAAGAACCTTGACTAATACAGATTTTGGTACCAAGAGAGGTTATTGAAGAACAGAATCTTAAGAATGAGTTTTCTGAATTGGTTCTGAGGTTTCTGGAATCAGTTCTCCAGTGTGATTAGATTTAAAGACACTAATGACTCTTACTCCCAGTAATAAAAAGGACACTGATAGTCCATGACATGATATGGTAATAGAGATATGCAAAATATGACCATTGGATACTACTGATCAAACACTAAAAAGAGACAAGGTTCTGGGTGGCCGTGTATATGAAACTTGAGAACATTTTTGTCAAACTAGTGAACATAATGAGTTGGCTGTTTAATGTCACTGGACAAAGTGGAGGGAGAAAAAAGATGAGCTCAGGGATTCGAATTCTCAGCTCAAGTGTCACATAAATGACCTGAAAGCTTCTGTATCTGCCCTGAAAGAGATCCCTATCTCCTGTAGCCACAGAGCTGAGTTTTCTGAAAACCAAACCCAGAATCTCATCTTGAGAGTGGCTGACTTGCAATGACAATTGAATTCCCAACCCTGTAGAGTGTTAAGTGTCAAAGTGTGGGTGAAAATCGGAATGGGAATATATGGGAAGACAGTGATGAAGGTGGGGACTTTGAACTCCCAAATTCTTTGCCAGTAGAAGCAAGCTCTCCACCCCTATCTGAGGACATTAAACTTGCATTGCCTGAGGAAACTGTAATAGCCTCCCCTGCAGTATTTGCCTCAAGAGACACCGATGTTTCTCCTCAGGACCCACCTCCACTCCTCCCTTTTTGTTTCTAGACCTATAGCTAGACTCAAGTCCTAGCAGGCCCCTAAAGGTAAGGCGCAAAATGTGACCTATGGGGAAGTGTGCTATACTCCAAAAGAACTGCATAATTTTTCTAATTTATACAGACAAATCTTGGGAATATGTGTGGGAATGGATATTAATGATGTGAGATAATGGTGGAAGGAACATAAAGTTGAATCAGGCCAAATTTATCAATATGGTCCCGGTAAGCAGCGATTGTGTATTCAGTGTTGCAGTTTGGGGAGTTAAAAAGGGCTCTAACAGTTTCTTTGGTTGTTTTGGCTGAAACATGGACTGAAAGGTGGCCCACAGTAAATTAACTTGAAATGCCAGACTTACATTGGTATACTGTAGGGGGAGGAATTCAAAAGCTTAATGACAGTGGTACATGAGAGAGGATGTGTCATTTAATACCTACTCATCCACGCTGGGAGGGTGTAGAGGACACACCTTCACCACAACTGTGAGAAATAAATTTGTGAGGGGAGACCCAGTATCTTTGAAGAGCTACATGACCACTCTTGTCTGTAGGCCAGAACTTACAGTGAAAATTGCTGCCACTGAATTGGGAAATCTAAATGCAACAGGAGTTATTAGATCCTGGGGTGGCGGGGGCCAAGTGGCAGCACTCAATAGCCAAAGGCAAGGTAGATGTGGTTACCATAATGGACAGCAGAGTCAAAGCGGCAATCAGAATACTCTGACCCATGGAGACCTATGATGTTGGCTAGCTGATCATGATGCTTCTAGAAGTGAAATAGGTAGGAAGTTGTGTTCTTTACTTAGGGCTACCATGACAAAATGCTACAAACTGCATGGCTTAAACAACAGAAATTTATTGTCTCACAATTCTGGAGGCTAGAAGTCCAAGATCAAAGTGACAAAAGGGTTGCTTTTGCCTGAGGCCTCTCTCCTTGGCTTGAAGATGGCTGAAATCTCGCTATGTCCACACACGGCCTTTTCTCTGTGTGCCTGTATCTTTAGTGTCTCTTCCTCATCTTATAAGGACACCAATAATTTTTGATTAGGGCCTCACCCTATGACTCATTTGACCTTATTTACCTCTCTAAAGGCCCTATCTCCAAATATAGTCCCATTGGGGGTTAGGGCTTCAACATATGAATTTTGGGGGGAACACAATTCAATCCATAACAGAAGCCTATTAAGTTCTTACTTGATCTCTATAAGGAGAGGTGTTTTAGATCTAGTGAACTAAAGTCTAACTTGAATGATAGAAACAGAGAGTCACAGTCCCCCAGTCAAGCACCAGATTTGAACTAGTTTCTAGACCAGAACTCCTTGAATGAAGAGGAGGTGGGTTTGCTTGAGGAAGGACCTCAGTACATTCCCAAAAATGTATACTGTCAGTCTTTCTCCCAGCCTTCCACAAAGGGACCAACAGCTTTCTATCAGTGTGATTCTGAATTGGGGAAAAGGAAATAATCAGTCCTTTCAGGGACCACTGGACACTGGCTCTGAACTGATGCTAATTCCAGGAGACCCAAAGCATCACTCACTCTGGTCCACTAGTCAGAGTAGGAGGTTATGGAGGCCAGGTGATCAATGGAGTTTTAGCTTAGGTCCGATTCACAGTGGGCCCAGTGGGTCCCTGAAACCATTTTGT